CAAAAAAAAAAAGAGGAGCCCTTGAATCTAAGAGTTTGAGTTTACTGTGAACATGACAGTGCCTTGGCATTCTACCCAGGGCAATAGAGTGAGACTATCTCAAAAAAAGAAAGAAAGTTCAAGAATAGGTAAATACAGAGGGTGCAAAAAAATGTATACACATTTTAAGAAAGAAAATACTATATTAAAATTGTAATATATTAAAATTGTAATACTTAGCTGGGTGGGGTGGCTCACACCTGTAATCTTAACACTCTGGGAGGCAAAGGTAGGTAGATTACTTGAGCTCAGGAGTTCAAAACCAGCCTGAGGAAAAGCAAGACCCCATGTCTACTAAAAATAGAGAAATTAGGAGAGTGTCATGGAAGGTGCCTATAGTCCCAGCTACTCAGGAGGCAGAAGCAAGAGGATTGCCTAAGCCCAAGAGATTGAGGTTGCTGTGAGCTATGATGATACCATGGCACTCTACCTAGGATGAAAGAGTAAGACTCTGTCTTAAAAAAAAAAAAATTGTAATACTCAATATATATCAATAAAAAAAGATGTCACATTTGACTTCTGCAATTATAAGAAGGTGCTCGAAGTGGTTACTATCAATGTCCAGACCCTTCTGATCATGGCAAACTAGTGCTTGAGCAATTGTATTCCTGTACATGTGTTTCAATTTCTTCCCAACATACTGACATTGTAGCCAGTTTTGTAAGTACACCACATGCTTTAAGGTCCCCTGTAGGTAGAAGTCAAGAGATGTTAAATGAGAACATGGAGGAAACTCAGCTACACCTATCCATTGTCCTGCAAAATCTGATCAAGGTAAACTCTCATGTGTTGGTCTCCATAATCTTGTGATGAAAACTTTGTATTTTGCAGGAAAATGTGTCCTGTGCTTGTTCTCCTAACTTCTGTCTCACATGCACATTTTTTGGTAGACTCTGTAGCAAGTGGGTAACCTGTTCCAATACCATAGCAGAAGAAGCCGATCTTGTTGCTGTGTGAGGCCTCTGGGATCTTCTCTTGTGCACATCATACACAGTATCATGTCTCTCAAGCATAGCACAAATACATGCCTTTTTAGGCATGTTGGAGGTTCTGTTGCATATTCATGCCTCTGTTGTACCTCCCCAGCATTCATAAATTTCAGTTATCACATCAAAATGGTCTTGCACTCCTTGAACAACAACCATGCTTCCACCATTTTCTTTGACTGACTATCTTGCCTATCACTTGGTGATGTTAGCATTCATTTAATGACCACCATCTTTTGAGCAAATGTCATACTACATATTGCTACTGTAATTAAGTTCTACTTCAAAAGTAATACATAATTTTCATTGTTACAAAGGGGTCACAACCCACAGGTTGAGAACTGCTGGTTTAGTGTGTGGTCAGTTGTGTAGATATGTGTCCTTTTATTAATATTATCCTTGCCTCCCCCCCTCCTTTTTTTTTTTTTGAGACAGAGTCTCACTTTGTCAGCCTCAGTAGAGTGCTGTGATGTCACAGCTCACTGCAACCTGAAACTCTTGGGCTTAAGCCATTCCCTTGCCTCAGCCTCCTGAGTAGCTGGAATTACAGGTGGCCACCACAACACCTGGCTATTTTTTGTTTGCAGTTGTCATTGTTGTTTTAGCAGGCCTGGGCCGGGCTTGAACCCACCACTTTTGGTGTATGTGCCAGTGCCCTACTCACAGAGCTATTGGCACTGAGCCCCCCCCCTTTTTAAAGAATAAAGACTACTAGAAAAAAAAAGGTAATACATAGATAAAATCTCTTATAATTTGTGTACATTTTTTTGACACTCCAGTATAAGGGAATAATAAATAATGGGGGAAAATAAACTCTGTTCTAAAAACACATTGATGCCAGTGCCGGGCACGGTGGCTTATGCCTGTAATCCCAGCACTTAGGAG